TAAGAGTTCCAAGCCACCTTGGGCTGTAGTGTGAGACTATCTCAAAAACAAAACAAAACAAAACAAAACAAAAAAACAAGAAACAAACAAACAAAAAAAAGCAAACAAAAAACATAGAAATAAATTTGAGGTTATAAAAATAACAATGATAAAGCAGAATATTGCCAGTCACCACGGCAGTTTGCTACACCTTAAAAGTTAGGCAATTAAGATCAAAATTTTGACTTAAGTTTTTTTTTTTTTTTAAATTTTTAAATACGGCATTTAAACTGGAAAATTCAGCTAACTGCCCATTGTATCCTATCTTCCTCCTAAACTTTCTAGTATTCAGAAACATAGTCAAATGATGCACTGAAAGTCTAATAATAGTGTGAACCTCAGTTTTCCTGAGACTGTTCCAGTTTGATCATCAGAGTCCTGTGTCCCATGCAAGACTAGGATAGATGGTCATTTTGACCGTTTGTAAAGGTTCTGGAATCACATTTTCCTTTGCTTAAAAAATGAAATTTTAGTGTTCTAAGCACCTCTTTAGTGTTAGTTCTTTTATTAATTATTGTTATTAGTTTTATTTTTAGTTTGGAAACAATTCTTTAGTCAGAGACATTTCAATAGACTCTAAAATCCATGATCTCAGTTAGAGTATGGCATTGCTCTTTATTGTGAAACAAAGGGTAAGTAACTTAAAATTTCCATGCATCAAGTACCTTCTTTTAAAAATGAAAACAGATGCTAATAATACTGATTTTGGTCAGTTGGTATAAACACTAAGTGAGACTATGTAGATGCTATTCTTGGTATACATTATAAACAGTACTTATTACCTATTAATCCTTTATGGTTATTAGTTACGTTACACAAGATTGAAGGCATGGTGCTTAAAATACATTTCTTCTCCCAAACAGTCTAGAGGTACCATTTACATACCAAAAGACAGCATACTTATTCTCACTGATTCCTATATTTACAAACACTCCATCAGAACTTGGAGTTAGTTACCATATGTGATTAAAACTGAAAAAGAAAAATGCACGTTTAAACACTAATAAGGATTTTCTAGCACATGATTAAAGTTGTGGGATTGGGGAGGTGGTTCAGTGGTTAAGAATGCTTGGTGCTAAAATAATAAGATAAATTAAAAAAAATAATAATAAAGAATGCTTGGTGCTCCTGCAGAGGATCGATCAGAATTTGGTTCCCAACACCTGCATCAGGGAGCTCACAACCACCTGTATGTAACTCCAGCTCTAGGGGTTCTGATATTTTCTTCTACCTTTCACGGATATCTGTGTGCCTGTGCATGTGTGTGTGAGTGCGTGTATGTATGTACGCACTTCTCAAAAACATTAAAAAATATTTTAAAAAATGTTCAAGTTGAGCAGGCACGGTGGTGCACTCAGGAGGGAGACAGAGGCAGGCAGATCTCTGTGTGTTCCAGGCCAGCCTGGTCTACACAGGGAGTCTAGGACAGCCAAGGTTACACAAAGAAACACTGTCTCAAACAAAACAAACAAAAAAGTTCAAGTTGTGAAATCTTTACCTCAGAGTACACCAACAATTAAGTAGTTATCCATCATCACCAAAGCAAAACAAAACAAAACACTTTTACTGAGTACTGGCTGCATAAGTAGAAGCCAAGGAGAAACCACACAATTAAAACACAGCCTTGAAATAATAGCATTTGAGGACCTGCTGCTGCTTTTTTTTTTTTTTTTTTTAGCATTGGTGTTGCTTTTCACTTTTCATATTTATAAATTTTACTTTAAAAAGCAAGCCTGAAAGCTACTTGTTATTAAGCCATAGCTACAACTTCATTCCCAGGTCATACGGATTCTAGCTTTGTGAATATTTTGACCATCCTCACTCCACAACTTTTGCATGAAGCCTTTTTTAATTCTGATCCCCTAAACCACCTTCTATATCCACTTAACTCCTTACCAGAATTCCTGTAGCTTTTTCTTTTACACATGTGTTCTTTCCTGTTTGGTAATCCCTATTACCAAAGCCTAAGGACTTTTAAAAATGACATTCGTATTTTAGTTTATAGTAATTTACATACGTGAACAGTAACCTCTGTCATTGTTTGGGTTTGTCTTTCTGTCCATAGGACAGATCAGCACTAGAGAAACAAAAGGGAAAAGGCAAACCTACTTCATTATATATTTCATGTTTCCAATTTCACTTTCTCTTCCAAAATTCATTTTTAAACTAACATTAAATCTCTACATAACTACAATACATAAATTGGTTATTTGAGAACTTCACTACCTTCAGCACCTCTATGAAATTTCTACCTGCCACTTTTACCAGCATAAATATTCTTCCCACCTTTTGAAGATTAATGTGCCCGTGACACATAAGTCCTTTTGTAGCTGTCTTTTAACTGGAGTGATTTTATACATTGTTCATCTCTTTAGCTGCAAAATAAAATAAAATAAGTACAAACAGAAAAAAAAAAAAAACCAACACAGCCATATCCTCAGATTGCTTACACTCTTTGTTCCTGGAAAATCAAGGCCTAAACTGGGAGATAGGGACAGATCAAAAGAGATAAAGCAGATATAAATCAAGAATGCACCATGGCTTTTTCCCAAGAATGTTGGAGGCCTTGAAATAGCAGAATAAGCTACAAGATAAGGGGCTGGAAGATTGGCTTCTCCAGTAGATATGGCCTTGAAAAATTATAATGGAAAACACACTCAAAGAGAGACCTGACATGTCTTATTGTGAATTGGAACGGGAGTAAAAATTATAGCTGGATTATAGAGGTAGAAACCTAGGGAATCAAACGAAGTGAGAAAGGAAATGTTCATAAAGCAGGCTGTCCAACCTATACATTGGAAAAACTGCATAGCCAGCAACAACAGTCTTCTAGTTTGCAAAGAACATGTCATTTTGTGCAGAGCCTGGACTGAATTTGGGATCTCCAAATTAAGGAAAAGAGAGTGATTTATCATGCTATGATTATTAGATTGTTACCAAAGGATCCTGTCACTCACTACTGAACTTCAAAGAAGCCTAGTAGCCATCTAGCTTGTTCTGAGATAGCAGCATAGGATGTTGGCTGAGTTGCTCTGGTTCCAGTAGGCACTGACAGGTATCCCCCTACTTTGCTCCTTTCCTTCCTACAGCACCTTTAACATTCCTCTTCATTAGCTTTTCCGGGCTTTGTCAAGAACCAAGTAACGAAAACTGAAGTAGATGACCAAGGAGGTCTTTTAAGAAACTCAAACAATCACGACACACCAGAGGTGTGACAAATTGTGAACTCTTTGCAAAACAGCCTCCCATTTCACTCACCCAGGTCAGACCCTCCTAAGGCTTAGAAACAGAAATCACCCTCTTACTTCACCAAAGCCCTAGAGGACACCCTGTTTTCCCAGTTGAAGAAAATGCAAGTGCTCTCTCCAGATTTCTCCCCACTCCCTCACCTTTGCCACTCTCCAACTGAGCTATGCCAGCAAGCAGGTTACTAGCTAGTTAAGGATTGTGCTCTATAGGATTTCAGTGTCTATGGGCTGAATATACTTGTAGTAATATTTTACCAGAAATGAAGATTCTCTTGAAACCAGTTCTGTCTATAGCTTGGCTTTATTTTAGACCGTGAACTAATTTGATGCCTAATGTGAAATAAGGGAGAACGTGCTTCACTGGCATTACGAATACCTCAGAAACACAACTTGACATACAACATTAAGTCAGCAGCCTTGCTTGTCCCCACCAGAAATCACTGGGGCTGAAGCTAGGAGAAAGTGGATTTGTCTTTGGAAAAAGGTGGTAAACACATTCTTGGTGGTTAATAAGAGAGCCTCCTGCATTTCATAGCTTCTAAGACATCTTATTTGCATTTCACTGCCAAGTAAGTAATGCATTGGGTGCTCAGCATTTCTCATCACTTTGGGCACACCACCTGCCCACAATCCAGAAACTGAGAGATAGAAAGTGTTGTACAGAGAGCACTGAGGTCAGATAACTTTCTCAGGCTCATACAAATAGAAGCATAACTTGTATTACTACCCAGGTCTCCAACAGCAGGGACGTCGCTCTTACATAACCTGTGTCATTAAGCAAGAATAAAATCCACCCCAGTGTGCACACACGCACATGCAGGCACATGTTCCTGCTCACGCAGATACATGGCATCTGAATGCATGCACACCATCTCTAAGAACGCAAAACCCATGGAAGGTTTCCTGAAGTTCCTGCCCCTAAGTTATCTGAATTTTCAGTCATGAATACCAGAGAATGTCATTGTTGGAAATAGCAGCTGCCTTGAGCACTCCCATTGTGTTTCTCTCTTCCCTTTTCCCATTCTTGTTTTTGGGCTTTCTAGAAAATCTGATACACACTCCAACACAGGTTTACAGGGAGATGGATTCATCCACTCTCTTGCCATACAGAGGCCTTGAAGTGCTCAAAGTAATGATCCTAAACTAATTTTTCTGGGGTTGCTTTTCATTTGCATTCAGAATAAAAGTCCATCATCTACAGAGTGGGCTGTTTCCTCCCCCATCTCCAGTCTCAAAAATTCTCACAGGTGTCTGATTTTTTCCATCCTGCATCCTTGATATTCCTCCATCAGAAGTTCAATTTGTTGATGACATTTCACTTTTCCTTACTGTCAATGCCAGACACTGGTTTAAAAGTCCTTCCAGTCTCAGTTCCACTGAGTACGGTGGAAGTCAAATTCCAAGAGAACCTCACGACAAAACTGCCTGAAGGACTTTATAAATTCCAATCCATAGAGAGCCATCCCATCTTCTGAGTCCTACTTTGTAAGCCTTTCCAGGCAGCACTCAAAAGACACACCTGCTAGAATTCACTGAGCTTTGCAGGGCTAGAACTAGCCAACAGGTCCAGCCTATGAGCCTGACCCCATCCCCACCTCCACCCGGTGCCTCTAGGGAACCTCCTGGTGTGCCACTTATCAGGGATGAAGATGCAAGAGAGGTTAGTGTCAGCAGGGACATGTTCCCACGTGGCCGTGATTGCCAGCTACCCACCTGTGGAAGAAGAGCAGAATGGAGAGCATAGTCTGATCGATGTTGCGGTTGCAGATGCCCTCGTTGATCAGGTAGCAGGGGTCCCGAACCACAGGCTCCAGCGAATCCTGCCGCATAATGTTGTTGAGCTTGTCAGTGTTGAGGTTCTCGAAGATAAGTTTCTCCTGCAGCTGCCGAAAGTTGCTCACGATGGGGCTGCCTGGGTTGTTCTCCCCGCCTCTTTGGAGATCGCTGCGGTTGGCGAGGTCCAGGCAGCAGTTGCAGCAGTCAAGCCCGACAGGTGAGCGGCAGTCGGTCTTGGACTGGGCCATCTTCTCAGGCTTGGAGGCCGACTGCTCGGCGAGGAGGTCAGGAGTGGCTGGCAGGTGCTCACCCACCGAGCTGGAGCTGGCCTTTTGGGACTCCAGGGTGTCTGGAAAAGGCAAGCTGCAAGAAGAGTTGGAAATCAGCGCCTAAAAAGCCGGACACCTTCAGCTCGGGGCCCCCTTCTGGTGGTAGCGCTCGGGGTGCGAAGAGAAACAGCTGGACAAACAGCTCCCAGCCGATCCTTTGGACTCACTTCCTTCTCCTCCTCCTCCTCCTCCTCCCCCCACCCCCGCCGTCTGGAAGGCAGGGCCGCTCCCCCTCTACAGTCTACCCCCCCTCCCACGGACGTGCCAAACGCTGTCCCCCAGGCGCAGTCCTAAGTTTCCCAAGTGTGAGCAAGGAAGGCTCCGGGTGGACCTGCAGGCGGCAGGAAGGGCGGGCAGAAAAGGGATCGCCCGTGGCGCTCCCTCCCAGTTTCTCTTTGGTGGCCCGCGGGCTCCGCTGACCTAGCGGAGGCAGGAGCCCGGTTCACAGGGAGAGAGCCAGGAGTCCAGGAGACCACACAGGGCCGTGACAGCATGTAAATTAGCACCGAGGGGCAGGCGGAGGACACGCCACCGCCGCGGCAGCTTTCCTGACTGGGTTTGAGGAGGGCCCCTGGCTCCCTGACTTCTTCCCCACAACCCCCACCCTTCCCCAGCGCCCACGCGGCTGCTCGCACCATCGCCCACGCTCCTAGGCAGGCAGCCTCAGCGGTTCCTCACTGTGCGCGCCTCGCCACGGCTCACCTAGCTCAAGTCCAGCCCTCCAGGAGCGCGTAAGCCGCTTCCCCCACCCCGCGGGCCATAGCCCGGGAGAGCCGCCCACCCCACCCCTAAGCCCAGGGGCCACACAGGGTTCGGGCTCCCAGCGAGAGTAAATGGTACCTTACTGGTTGTGCCTGGCCACGGAGGCTTCCCCTGGCAGGAGAGCGGGACGCTCAGGGCCTTTAAACAGCTGCGCCACGCAGCCAGGCTTTTTGGGAAGTGCTCTGAGAGCTAAGAGCCCACAAACTGCCAGAAAACACCACGAGGACCTAATGCCCCCAACTCCAAACTCTCACATTGCCTATTCTCCCCATGCCCGCTGCTCCTCACTTGCCATCCTGTCTGGCTTTCAGGTTCACTGCCTGTTCTGTGCTCCACGCCCCACTCGACGCCATCGCATCAGGTTCTGCTGTCTGGGCTGCGGGCTTCCCTGAGGCTGGCCCCTTCTCCTCCGCCGCTCTTCTCCCGCTCTTTTGGCTGTTCCTGTCATCTAATGGCTCCTTTCTTTCTTTTTCTTTCTTTCTTTCTTTCTTTCTTTCTTTCTTTCTTTCTTTCTTTCTCTCTCTCTCTCTCTCTCTCTCTCTCTCTCTCTCTCTCTCTCTCTCCCTTCCTTTCTTCTTTTTTGTTTTGTTTTTTTGAGACAGGGTTTTTGTGTGTAGCCCTGGCTGTCCTGTACTCGCTTTGTAGACCATGCCGGCCTGGAACTCAGAGGTCCGTCTGCCTCTGTCTCCCTGAGTGCTGGGATTACAGGCGTGTTGCCACTAAGCCCAGCTTTTCTTTTTCTAACTTTCTTCCCTCATTTCTTCCATTTTCCTCTTTTCTTTCCTCTTGCCCATTCTCATCTTTCTTTTTCTCCTCCTTTACCTCTGGCTGACCGTCTCTCCTTTTTCTCCGCTCCTGCTTTGACCCCCTCCCTTCTATTTCTTTCATTTTATCCCCCCTCCCCAATCACGTCGGCATCCCCTCTTTCTCCTCATCTTTCCAGTTTTTTTTTTTCTTTCCCCAAACTTGTTCTCTGGCTTTTCGAAGCCCCTCTGCCCCCTACCTGTTACTTCAGGTGATGTGTGTCTGTCATTCTTTTGGAGAGACTTAGTATTCAGCCGCCCACAGGCAGAGTCAGGAGAGGAGTGATGCGTCCTGTACTGGTGGCGGAGGGATCTGGAAACATAACGGTCGAGAGGAGGTGTACTGAAAGGGCAGATATAGGGGCCAGCCTGGTGACCTGGATGAATGCCCCTGCTTTTCAGGGACTCGCAAGGTGATCAAAGAGAGCGGCTTTTAGTGTTTCTCAGAAGTTAGAGTATGTTCAATATGGAAGACTGAGTACTTATTGCTTCTTCTAAAAATTAAAACACATTTATAATATAAACACATTTATGAAAGGTTTTGTATAAAACTCACATAAATTTCTATTCGGTCTTACTCCCTTACAACCCCCTCCTCCCCCTTCATTTGCTTCATTCAAGAAGTCAGGGCATTTGAAATAGAGCAGTATATACTGCCATCTTCTGCCCAAAACCTGAACTATTTTCTCTCTGTGCATAGGGAACACACTGTAGGTGCCTTTTGGTGGAAGAATCCATTGGAACACCAACTGGGGACAGGAGTCCCTTTATTTCAATAATAATAAAATTCCAGCCGTCTGAGCCCTGGTAGATTTGACTTAAATACATTAAAAACGTCTTAGCCTACCGTGCTGCAGTGCACCCTAAGATCCCAGCTACTCCAAAAGCAGTAGCAGGATGCTTGTGACTTTTAGGCCAGCCTGAACTAAATAGTAAGGTTGTCTTTTTTTTTTTAAGCCCACCCCATAGAAAACGAATCTTCAAGCCTTCCCTGTAATTAATTAAGAGCAAAGAGCAGCCAAATAATTCCTGTTTCCCAGTCCTTGTGGCTGTTACGTGGTACCCAAAATGTGGGTCGTTGGGGAAGGCTGTGTTCTGTGCTGTAGTGGTTAGAAAAACCAAAACTTGCTGTGTCTCCGCTTCCTGAGAACATCCCAAAGCGCAGGATCAAAGAGACCATGGTGGTTATTGCATAAAGCAGTATAACTGAGATTATATATACATCCCCACAGACTGAGAAACATTTATTTATTTTTTTCTCTTATAAGCCCATCTTGTTATTTTCTTGTATTTCTTTCTTCTCTCTTTTAAATGTTCCTGGATAAAACCCAGAGGAGGTAGTAGAATATAAAATTTCATCTGCATTGTGTAGACTTATAGCCTACTGAATTGTTTTTTAATTACAATGTTTATTATTTCCTTCTTGTTTATAATTATTTTATGTTAAATGTTGGAATAAAATATGGTACTTCCATAAATGTTTATTTGCATTTTGGGAACAACTAGCCTTTTTGCTTTTATGTTTGCCTGAACCCTCTTATCTTTGTGTAACCTTGGGATGAGGCCAGGGGAGAAGTATTTCCTTCTTGGCATTTGGCACCGTTAAATTTAAGATTTTTGTCCCCTTGACATTTCCCTGTTGTAGTCCTTTCTCTAAAGCAGTATTTTTAATAATTCAGTACAGATTTGCATACCATATCAAGGCCGATCAAGAGCAAATATAGTTGAGATATAGAAAAATCTAGATAGTACAGAGATAGAGTTCAGAGAACTGGCATTTGTGTGCACACAAGTCCAGCTTGTGTTGACAGACTGCATACCTCTGTGAGGGAAGGCTGACTGGACAGGACCTCCTTGGCTCTCCTCTGTGAAGCTTTGCTTTACCGACATACACAGAGTTGGATGGAGAGATTCCAAGCAAATGTTTGTGCATAAGCTCCAGAATGTAGCAGTCTGGGACACTAGTAGACACAGATGGTGGCTTTTTGGGTGGAGCAAAAAGAGAATAGAAGAAACACACCTACTTCTTGAAGAAATTCAACAGCCACTTACTGTACACTTGTCTTGTGCCAGGTACAGAGTTAATAAAAATTCAGAGGTAAGTAAGATACATGCCAAAGCTCCCCTCCCCCAAGAACTCCTGATCTGTCTGGACAAACAGATAGACATATAGGCAAAACACTACAAGTCAAGCTGAGTCTGGAGGTACTGACCTGAAACCCCAGCTTTTTGGGAGGCTAAGGCAGGAGGTTTACAGATTCAAGCCCAGCCTGGACAACTGAGCAAATCAAGATCTCTCTTTCATATGTGCTCACAAGCATGTGTGTTAAGGGTTGATGATATAGATCAAGTACTCTACACAAATAGAGTACTTGTGTAACATGAGTAAGGTTCTAGGTCTAATCACCAGTACCTCAAAACCAGCAATAAACAAACAAAACCCAAGCCTACCACTACAAGTAGTACACAATAAACACTTGGTGATTTGTGGGCAGATAGCAATATGTGCTGGCATAGGTGGAGAAGAATTCACTTTGGGATGGAAGGGCAATCCACACATGTTCTTTCCTGAGCTTAATTACAGTAAAGCTACATCCTAACAAATCTACCATGAACTGAGAAAATATCACAAGTAATAAAAAAATGGAATTTCTACACTTAGTTCACTGAGAACCATAGCTTAGCAACACAGGAGTCCATATGACCCTCCTAGTCTTCTGGCTTACTGGAAGCTGCTCATCATCCAAATCCTAATTTTTTTTCAAACCCTAAATTTTAAGTAGAGATTTTACTGAACACATATTGACTTTTGCACAATCATAAAACACAAAATTTTCAGGACAGCCAAGGTTACACAGAGAAACTCTGTCTTGAAAAACAAAAACTAAAAAAACAAGCCCCCCCCCAAAAAAAACCCTAAAATCCAACAACAACAAAAAAAAAAACACCACAAAATTCATAAGTAGAATCCTTGAAAATCAGGGACTAGTAGAGTGAGGCCTGTAGGCAACACTAGTGGGTATGCTGGGATCCTGTGTGGATTTCAAAAGAGTTTTGTGTTACTAGAGAAGAAAATGGGAGAGACAGAAGTTGAGAGTTGGAAAGGATTAAGAGCCCACATCTGTTTTTTAAAATTATTCCTTTTATATCCTGATTGTAGCCCCCTCCCTCATGTCCTCCCTGTCCTACCCTCCCTCCCTCTTCTCCTTATCTCCTTCTCCTACTCCACTGAAAGAGGGAGTTCTCCTCCTCTGCCATCTGCCCATAGCTTATCAAGTCTCATCAGGACTGCCTGGATCCTCTTCCTCTGTGTTCTGGCAAGGCACCACCGCCAGGGGGAAGTGATCAAAGAGTAGGCAAAGGAGTTCAAGTCAGAGATAGCTCCTGCTCTCCTTACTCGGGAACCCACATGGAGATTGAGCTGCCTGTGGCCTACATCTGAAACAGGGGTTCTATGTCCTCTCCATGCATAGTCCTTGGTTGATGCATCATTCTCTAAAGGCTCCTCTGGGCCCAGCTTTATCAGAGCCCACATCTTAGGGAACTCAATGTAAAGCATTAAAGAAAAAAATTGCCCTGAGCTTAGTGTGGTGGTTTACACTTGTAATCCCAACACTCAAAGTGACTTTGAGCTATATAAAAGATCCTGGCTAACGGAGTCTTATGGAAGAGTGGGGACATAGAAGGACCCAGAGGGGACAGGAGCACCACAAGGAGATCAATAAAGCCAAAAAGTCTGGGTCCAGGGAGGCCTGCAGAGGCCAATACTCCAACC